TTCCTGTCTTTGTAATGAAGATAATAGCTCTTGATTTCTCTCTGTTGAGACCAAACTTTCCAACAATTGGAAGGGATATTTTGGTTCTCAGATAGCTGGAATGTGGCTACTGTACTCAACCCTGGTGAGATGTTGACTAAACAGAGCTTGTAGACTGTGAAGTTTCTCGTTTGGCTTTGTGGTTCTTCACTTGGAATGTGAATTCGGTTTTTTAGGCCCTGTATGCTTCCAAGATTATCTCATATGCTCAAGGCTTCATGCTGCTGAGACAAGCAGCCAAAGAATTTGGATGGACACTGAATTACGGTGGCATTGCACTGATGTGGAGGGGAGGCTGCATCATCAGAAGGTAATTAAGATGAGGAGGTAATTAAGTTGTTGAGGGGAGAAGAGCAGGCAATTTGGTTTATGCAGTGCTAGACTGACAAGCCTGGAGATTTTCTTGGAAAATCCATGGAGTTAATCTGCTGATAGGATACTGAGAGGCTTTTTCTGTAGACGGCTGTAAAGGTTACCAGATGAAGCCAAGTTTCTGGTGGCTTAGCTACTGCAGGTTTTCTTTGCTCTTTGTTGTGTTTGCACCTTTCTCAATGTTTGGAATCAGAGTCCGGCTGAGTCAAATTTTGGCACTGCTAAGTTTTGGATTCTAGGCATTTGTTGGAAGCTGTGAAATTTTATTCCTGGTTTACATGTTTTTCTGCCTAGTGTGTTCCTGGGAAAAATCAAAGATGCTTTTGATCGAAACCCTGAGCTCCAGAATTTGCTGTTGGATGATTTCTTTAAGACAGCTGTTGAAAACTGTCAGGTGAGTTTCCAAGGAAGAAAGAGCATAAAACCAGCTTCTTTCCCAGGAGTTACCTTCATGAGTATATTTAGACTGAAAAATTAAAAGGTAGAGAATATCCTTGAAACCTATTTATACAGCATCCTTAATCCCAAAGGTCTCTAAACAATTGTGAAGCTCTTTGGGACTCTCTGTGGGACCCTACATAATATATGGGTGTAGGAATTCATCATCTATGGCTTCAAGGTACCTTTCTTTAGTGGAACATATCAGTCTTACAGGATCAGGAGAGCAAAAAACCTACATAGCTGGAGCTGGTTGAAATTGAACAAGACTGTTACTGTGATGAGGTAGGCTTATACTGAGGCCCAAATTAGAATTTCGCCAGACACAAAGGTTACTGACCTGTCCTTGAAAAACTGCCTATAAATATCTCTTGCCTCTATTTCATCAGAAAGTTGGAGAATGTTAGTTCTAAATGAAGAAAAAAGAAGTTGCATCACTGAAGCACTACTTTATAGATCAGCATCCAGATACATCAGGTGGTGAACCAAGGTCTTGTGTAATGTTGCAAGGTATATTTGTAATATCAACCTAAAGATAATGCAGGAGCAAAGGAGCATATAGTCCTTGTGTCACAGTTGTTCTCTTTGATACTAGCCAAGCTACTGTTAGAAACTTAAAGTTTTAATTTTACTGTTACAGAAGAGACTTAGGCAGAAATCTAGCAATTCAGAAGAACTACTGTGTCAGGAAAAAATGTCTAGTCTTGTGAACATTCCCATCACTGCCCTGTGTCTTGTGCCTACTGCACACTTGGGTTTCAGTTGTACTGACTATAAAGCTCTGTTCTGTTACCATTGTTTGCAGTAGCACCAAAATAACAGTGTTCAGACCCATCATTCACTAGACCTAGGTCTGTCCAAACAGGCTCCTGATTTGGACAGAGTTGACAGGCAGAACTAAAACCAGATTATATGACTTCTTTGTTGGCCAGATATTATCATTAATAATTCTTTTAGCTGAAGCTGAATATTCCACCCAAGTTACTAAGTCAGATGTACAGTTGAGATGAGGATTATCCATGTGTCTGTCTGAAGTATTGTGCTGACCTCTCATGCCCTTGGGAGGGCTTTGTACTGTGCTTGCTGGGAGGGTCTGGTAGTGCCTCAGTGTTTGCTCAGTATTTCCCCCACTGTGTTCGTGCTTTTGAGATGCACTGATTATGTGAAAGAACAGCATCCTTTGAGTGCATGTGAAGTGTATGTCTGCACTTGTATTGTCCTGTTTGTTAACTCTTAGTTGCCATTTATTTTGGATCAACCATGTTTATGTAAAATCAGGAATCTACTGCTGAATTTGCTCAGACTTGGTCATTAGATTTCATATAACGCGAGATAGCACATGCTGTTGTACTAGAGTACTTCATCCACCTGCACACACCTCTGAGCAAGCACTCATTTGTTTCTTTCTTTTTTTCTGTTTGTTTATTTTCCCACCTCCCTCTTTTCTTCTCTCCCAGGACTCCTGGCGACGTGTGATCAGTACTGGGGTACAGATGGGTATCCCTATGCCCTGCTTCACTACAGCACTTTCTTTTTATGATGGATACAGGCATGAAGTATTACCAGCTAACCTGATTCAGGTAGGTGCAGATCTTTTGGCTACTGAAATATCATCGTGTTGTTATTTAAATACTGGTCTAAAGACCATGATGGCAATATACCCTGATCACTCAAAACTGTAAAGATAAAGGCATAGATTTCCTCATATAATTCTGTTAAACCTGAAATTCACAGCAATAAAATTCTGTGAGATGTCTGGGTAAGAACACCAGAGATAATAGGTATGACAGTGCCCAGCATGTATTAATATTCCATCTGTGAACCAAGGGTAATGATATCTTTGAATTAAAATGTTTTATAAAGAAGTAAGTATCTTTGAACCTCTGGATGTATCTAAGTACTTGGTTTTTGGATTAGTACCTAGCAGAAATAATATACTTGCCTTGCCACAGAACTCCTGATTACTAGATATTAGTAAATGTTTCATTGCGATGATTTTGCTAATTATGAGAAGATAACTTTGAATGTTATAATATTGGAGTCAGATCCTTTTTCTAATATTCCTATAGTCAAGTACCAGTAAGTGCAGCTTCTAGTGCTCATATGACTGTGGAATTGACATGTCTGTGCTGTGTGTTCCTACCCCAGGCTCAGCGGGATTACTTTGGTGCACACACGTACGAGTTGTTATCGAAGCCGGGCGTGTTCATCCACACCAACTGGACGGGCCACGGAGGAAACGTGTCCTCTTCTGCCTACAATGTCTAATGGAAATACTTCCTCTTGAAGCCAAGATACTGTAGATCTCAGATGGGATGTTATAATATTGGAGTCAGATCTTATTTCTAATATTCCTATAGTCAAGTATCATTAAGTGCAACTTCTAGTGCTCATATGACTGTGGTATTGACATGTCTGTGCTGTGTGTTCCTACCCCAGGCTCAGCGGGATTACTTTGGTGCACACACGTACGAGTTGTTATCGAAGCCGGGCGTGTTCATCCACACCAACTGGACGGGCCACGGAGGAAACGTGTCCTCTTCTGCCTACAATGTCTAATGGAAATACTTCCTCTTGAAGCCAAGATACTGTAGATCTCAGATATTCCTCCTAGAATACCACTTTTTACTGTACTAGAACTTGTGTTTGGACACTTTTGTAATAACTTGTGGGTATATTTCATAAATATATATGTCAATATATATATAATATAAGAAAGCTAAATAAACTTGCTTATAAATGCATTGAGGTGTTTTCTTTGCACTGTTGCTGGCCAAAACTGGCTGAAATGTCTTTGTGCAGTATTTAATAGGATACATTTTAAAATTATAATATTTTTATTGTATTATAGTGCATAAACTCGTAGGGATCAAGATAGAGATGACCGCATTTCAGTAACTGCTGGAGTGGAGAACGGCAGACAGTGGAGAACGGCAGACAGTGGAGAATGGCAGACAGTGGAGAATGGCAGACAGCACAGTAACGCTGCGCGAGATTTCAGGGAGGTAAAGGCCTTTTTTTGGTTGTTTATTCGTACGAGGCAGTGGCTTGGTTCCTAAAGCTGAATTCCTGAGTGTTCCCTTTGTTCTCTGCGGGAGGGTGAAGGGTGGGATGGATCATGCAGAAACTTGAGTGCAGGTCAAGGGCGTCGAGGCTGATACTCCTGTCACCAAGCCATTCTCCCTCCGACTGTTGTTCCCAGTTTTAAGCTCTGGCATAAACTGTTGGTTTAGCTGTTTGCTTGCACGTTTTCCCCCAAATCTCTGGGATATTTTGCCGCCTCTTCCCATGAGGTGATTAAAAATCCCTGCAGCAGCGTGCAAAGCTGGCTCTATTTGATACCCTCTCCTTGCAATCCCACTGCCAGTTGTCTTCAGGACTTTGGAAAATTCACCTGGGTGCCTGTACCTTTATTTGTTTTTTTTAATCACAACCTCTCAAGTATTAAATTTTATGCTGTTTTTTATATTATTAGTTTGCTATTTTTATATTATTCTTTTGCTTCATTTACTTCTGTGAAGACAGCTGCATAGTTATTAGTTGAATATCTCCATAATTGGCAAACAATTACTTTCAAGTTAAAAGAAGGTTTCTGCAAATTATGGTGCAAGATTTAGGAATTGTGTAAACTAACTGTGTGACGAATTGCAGGCAATGATTGTAACTGGAGGGCTGGGAGTGTGTAACAGCGTTGGTGGTTGGGGCTCTGCAGCTGGAGAGGAACCACCCTGGGGCACAGCAGAACTGTGTGCGCGGGTGTTGGGTTTGGGGGGAAAAGGGGGTATTTTATTCTGTGGTACGAGTGCTGAGAAGAATACCTGCTGCTCCGGCCAGGCAGGGTCTCGCTGTTCCTGGCGGGGTGTAAACAGGCAGAGTTCGCTCTGTCAATCCCCCGTTACCGGGGCGAGGGGCGGGATGGGGACAGCGGCTCGGTAACAGCCGTTACCTCCCGGTAGAGGCCCCGGTACGGCTCCGGGTGGGTGCAGGATCCTCCGGGGCCGCGTCCCAGCCGGGGGGGTGCTGCCAGCACCGCTTCAACCCGCACCGGGGTGATGGGCGAGGCTGCCGTCTGTCCGTCCGTCGGGTCGGGAGGCCGGTTGCGGCTGCGCGGGGCGGGGAAGGGCGGTGGCGGCGGCTCCGCCCCCCCGGGCCGGGCGGGAAAGGCGGGCGGGCAGCGCCATGGAGGCGGCGGGGGATGAGGAGCGGGCCCTGCTCACGCAGGTACGGTGGGGCCCGTTAACGGCCCCCTGTGCTGTGTCCCGTTAAGCAGTCTGGAAGGTGCGGGGAGGCTGGAGCCCCTCTGCTGTGGGGACGGGTGAGAGCTGGGGGGTTCAGTCTGGAGCGGAGAAGGTTCTGGGGAAACCTCGGAGCCCCTTCCAGTCCCTCAAGGGGCTCCAGGAGAGATGGGGAGGGACTCTGGATCTGGGAGGGGAGCCACAGGACGAGGGGGAACCCTTTTAAACTGAAAGAGGGGAGATTTAGATTAGATATTGGGAAGAAATTCTTTGCTGTGAGGGTGGTGAGAGCCTGGCCCAGGTTGCCCAGAGAAGCTGTGGCTGCCCCATCCCTGGAGGGGTTCAAGGCCAGGCTGGAGGGGGCTTGGAGCAACCTGGTCTGGTGGGAGGTGTCCCAGCCCAGGGCAGGGGGGTTGGAACTGGATGATCTTCAAGGTCCCTTCCAACCCAAACCATTCTATGACTTGTACATCAGTCTGCAGAGAACTGACCTGTCCCTGCTCTGGGTCCTTTCAGAGGCTGAAGGCCGCGGTTCACTACACGGTTGGCTGCCTGTGCCAGGATGTGGCAGAAGACAAGGACGTGCAGTTCAGCAAACAGACCATCGCCGCTATCTCGGAGATCACCTTCAGGCAGTGCGGTACAGAGGCTTGCGTAGTATCTGTTCATTCAAGAACAACTGCTGGAGAAACAATGCTTTAAAATAAATAGCACTGGAACTAGTTATCACTGGTGCATTGTTTCTTGCATTGCGTTTTTAAAAGTACAAGAAATAGTCAGTCTGGTTTTCAGACCTGGAAAAAGCATTTAAAAGTGTGTGGGTGTATTGTGTGGGTTACCTGCCTGTGCAACAGAGGGGCACGTAATGACAAGTTACGGTCACTTCTCATAAATAACTTGGATAACTAACTAAAACCTCTCATAACTAATTTGCAGTTACACCTTTGTGACAGCTAGAGCTGTATTATGTATCTCTTCCTGCTCAGAGTGAGTGTTGTAAAATATGTGGCATCTTTGTGTTTTCTCCAGAGACCTTCGCAAAAGACCTTGAAATGTTTGCAAGGTAGGTACTGGAACACTTGCTTGTTACAAAGGCTTTTTTTTGTGTTCAGCTCCAATAACTAGATAATCTTTAAAATACGTCTTGTAACTCAAGTTTTAAAGGGTTCTTTTGGCCCATTAAACAGCGGCTGTGAAGTTAGGAAATAGTTATGAAGTAGTAGAAGTTATTGTTTAGATTAATGACTGCATACAATTGTCAAATACGTTGATATCTAGCGGTCCTGGATGGTTTGGCAGGGGTGCTTGAAGTTCTGGTTGCTGAATTCTACTGTTTGTACACAGTGAGTGTGGGAACTTAGATGTACACAAACCTGAAAAGTAGGTTTCTGTGTGTTATCATTGGAAAAGATGTTTGGTTGTTTGGCATGTTTGGTTTGCTGACTCCCTCTTAAACCCTTCTAGTTAGTGTTGTGAATGAGATGCTGCATGGCCTCTTACAACCGATGCTGGCAAACTCTTTAAGGGGTCTGTTTGAATTTTGTGCAGGCATGCAAAACGAAGCACAGTCACTACAGAAGATGTGAAGCTGTTGGCTCGAAGGAGCACGTCTTTGGTGAGATTCACTGTATTTTCTGTCTCGCAACATTCTTAAACCAATTGTTTAGTTCTTATGAGCATTTGAGTAAAGGCCATGGATGATGAAGCAACTGTTGCTTAAGCGATTTCACTGGCTTATTGATGATAGATGGGCACAATCCAGTGATTTTTTTAAATTTTCATCTTATTTTGCTTCATGACACTGTGCCTCACTGTGGGAACACAGTGATGAACACAGATGTCCTGTCTCCTGTGACTTGGGAGAAGAGACCAACCCCCCCCGGCTACACCCTCCTTTCAGGGAGTTGGAGAGAGCGAGAAGGTCTCCCCTCAGCCTCCTTTTCTCCAGGCTGAACACCCCCAGCTTAGACTGAGAGCTCTGTGCAAGAATTAAAACCAATTGATGTTTATCAGCCTTTTTGGAGTGTCTGTCATCTTTTTTTTGTAATAAGAATTTGCCCTGTTAATTTACCTTAAACATTTCTCTCTAATTTCTTATGAATAAATGACGTTCCTCAGTAGATGACTGATTAGTTTATTGTTCTCAGCTAAAGTTTATCACCCAGAAGAGCGAAGAGATCGCATCAAGTAACATGGAGCAAAAGGAGAAGAAGAAAAAGTAGTCCAGTGCAGCTGAGGAAGGGAGAGCTGCTGGGGAACAAGAAACAGCCGTGACTGAAAGTGAAAATTCCAACATGGCATGATTCACCCTTCAAGTAATGTCTCTGGTCATTTTCTCTTATTATCCTTGAGGAACCACAGTTACTGTATTAGAGATTTCTCTTCCAGGTTAGCAACAGTAATGAATCTTTGGGGCTTTAGGTGAACATGATTAGTTGGATTTTTTTTTTGTTGTTGTTGTTCCAAAAATGAACGGTTTGTCAGAATTCAGTGACACAGCCAAAATGCCTTAATTGCTCACAGAAATGTATCTTACTGTTATTAAAATGAAAATCCTTTAAATACAGAGTGTAAAGCAGAACATTCTCACTGACCGAAATACCTCAGTGTGTGCAACTCTCTCCATGCTGCTCCTTAGTTCCTCCAGTAATTGACTTCCTCCTTGCTTCCATTTTTGATACTTTTGCTTAGGTATTTTAAATATTTTATTTTTGTTTTAATAGCCATATGACTCACTTACTGTCTTGGCAATTAACAGATGTTTTGTGTGATTTCTCACCTGTGATTCTGGTGGTATATAACCTTCACTTTCAGTAAGTTGCATTAAATTTCTAATTTCACTGTATGGAGGTGTCTCGGGGCAGGGCTCAGGACTGTGTCGCCATTGCCCTCTGCCGGGCGGACGGAGCTTGAGCAAACGCTCTTGATTCAAAAGAAGCAGATTTAAAGACATAAGGTATTAGATACAGCCAGGTTGAAATGTGAAGGCTGCTTAAGCTACCGCATTGGCAAACTTTATCAAGCAAAAATGTGCTTGGCAGTTATAGCCTGAAACATGCAGCAAGAGAGGAAAGACTTGAACGCTGTTTCTCTTGCTCTGCCCTTGATTCATGAGACAAACTCTTCCTTGGAGCCACTTGTTCCTTCCTGAAGGATATAGTTTAGGGCAATTCCCCAGAACCAAGCTTAAAATCATCAGATCCTCATTTTGTTAAGACTCATACCTTAAATACTAGCCCAAGATAAAGAAGGTACCAGATGACAGAATATTTTTTATCACCCTTGAGAACTTGTAGGTGTAGCCCTGCTCCTTGTTCAAACCCCTTCTCTTGAGAGTGCACTTTCTGGACTAGAGTCACTCAGCAGCTGTACACAATACAGTGGAAAAAGAGCTCTGGACTCCCTAGATGTGCTCCATTTTACACTTGCTCTGTATTTGAGCTGTTAAACAGTAGTGGATGGGAGAGAAAAACATGCCTTTTATAGGCTGTAACTATCCAATATTGATCAAATAAAACCAAGTGCTACCATACAGCTTTTTTACAGCTTAAGGAATAGAATTTCTATTGCCAAGTTGGTTGAAAAAAGGAAAAGCATTGCAGCTTAGAGCAAGACTGAAAAACTGGTTTATAATGGAGAGAGTGGTAATCACAAGCTGAGACATAAACTCACAGAAAAAACCTTGCTGAAAGCTACTCTGCTCAATGCAGGCTATTCCAATTGGTAGCCAGTGTAATTAGCTTGGAGTGCAACAGAGCATGCTTCAGAACCTCTATTAATGCACAGCCATATATGCTATTTCAGAAAGACTTGAATGTTAAAAGCCTGTAGCTATTTAAAGCAGCAGGAAACCTTTTTACCTGCCATGGCCTATAATGTTACAAGCCAGAAGTGTATTTTGTAAGAAGCAATTACTTGCACTAGTGAAACAGACTGACCAAGAAGTTGACTGTAGGCTTCCCTGCAGTCCAGTCAATTCCCGTAGGGGCAGCTCCATCTGAAGTTACCCTGTGTGTTTTGGCTCAGCTCCTCAAAGGCACTGAACTGTTTAGAATATTTATTAGTTACACTGGGAGTCTGAGTGTGCCTTAATTCAACTGGAATGTCCACATGCAGTGGGTTCATCTGAATGCCTGCTGCAGGAATGCTCCTCCGTTGGCATCCTGCACCATTTAAGGTTAAATAAAGAGGGGTTTGCATGACACTAGAAAACTACTAGAATTTTCAGCTCACTTTTCAGAATTTTTCACATATGTTTTCTGTTCTCACAAGAGAAGAACAGATTGTGCCAGGTGACAGTTCTGGTGCGGTGTCACCAGTGTGAACGTGGATTCTACCTAAATATTTTGGCCAGGTTAAACACAGAGTACTTCTGTATTTAATTTCTTCTTCCTCTACCCTAAAGGTAATACTGTACTTATCAGCACATTCTTTAATCATAGCAGCTGGTGGAAATATCAAAACTACTCCAGCATTAAGGTACAAAGGTTTTAATGATATTAGAAGACTTCAACAATTTTAAAAATAAGCCAGTTAATACAAAAGCATCATGATACTACACTAATGATTAGGGGATTAATACAAACAGCTCAAATACAAGTCTTCTGCTCCACAGCTGTAAAAATCAAGTATTTCTACCTGTGCTGGGTTTTAGAAGTTAGTGCTTACACTGCACGCAAAAGGCACAAGTTCCTTACAGGAAAAGCGCAGAAGTTAAAGGACTCGGAATTTACTTGAACTGATGAAATGAGCATGAGAATTCAAGTTCCTAGATCCCAGGCTGGAGTTTAAAGCCGGGCAGCAGCTGGCTAACCCCTCTGTCCTGCTCGTTAACTGTGCCACAAAGTGTCTTCCACCCTTGGCAGGACAAAGCAAGCAAACTGCCTGGGGCTTCCAACCCGAGATCCATCATTTTCTGATGGAAGCTTCTGGCTGCCAGCCAAAGCTGAACCCTTACATGCTGTGTTTAGCAATACCATTGTTCCAGTATTCTGCAAAAAGTCAAAATCCCTTTGGTTACACATGATTTGAATCATCACAGAAGTTTAAGCCTCAGGACAATGCCTCAGATTTTAGTTGTCTATAGCCAGACCACAGAATGACCAGCAAACTATGGCTCCTGGGATGTATCTTTGCTTGTATTGATTCTAATGCAAAAAAAAAAAAAAAAAAAAAAAAAATTGCCAGCAGCATGGATCAGATACTAAGCATTACTCAGCTGGTGGTGTTTGTTATTACCAATACACCTTGCGATACCAGGCATCTTTTCCATACTTAATTCCCATACTTGGGTAAAACCTGTGGAGTGGTATTTCAGCATCAGATTAACAGGTGAACCAGGAGGAGGCTGAAAGTCTTATATCCTCTCTGCAGTGAACCCAGGGCTGCTACATCCACCTCTTCCTCCAACTCCCTTATGGATCCAAAGCCGTATGATGAACACACACTCACAGCACATTCCTGCCCCCATTCTTGCACCCAGCAGCACCACAGGCTTATTTTTTGCGTTTTGAACTAAGCCCAGGGTAGTCTCCCCAGGGCAGCGTTTTCTTCCCCTTTGACGTGCTCCTTAGGGAATGCAAAGTCTGGACTTGTTGTAGACGCTTGGAGAGCTCCTGATCACAGGCTTGCTGCAGAGCTTCAGCCTTCTGCTTGTCCCATCTTAGTGCCGAGGCCAGGGCTTGTGTGTCTTCTTTCAGGACCAGCTGTAGCAAGACAGATTTCTAAGTTTTTTCTACTGATGCTCCTCCACCACTAACCCCCTCTGACTGTAGTAATGAGACACCTGTTTAAAACTGGCAATTTGGTATTGAAGGTGTTCCCAGCTTTCATCATCTATCCCATGGGCTAGTGGATTTTCAGTATTCTACCAACACTTAGGGGCTGAAAGCTATATTCAGATTTCAAAGGAACAGAGAGCAGTTAACTTAGTTTCTACAGCAGGAAGAAGCAAGAGGAGTGAGTTCATAGCGTTAGAAAGAACATGCTTTTTAATGCTTAAAGTTTACCTAGACTTTCCAAGCTATGGGTTTGTTTATGCTGTTTTCCAAAATGAGGGTTTTATTTTAATTTGGGATAAAAGAAATATAGCTAGATGCAATTGCATACAAAAAACCCCCCCTTGCTGGTAAGACAGCTGAAGCATTGGCTGACTATGATTTGGCAGAGATCAAAACCAAAATTATTTTGTGGCTTTTCAGAGGACAGACTGGAGTGCTTGGAATAGTCTCAACTGGCTATTACCAAGCAGGAGGTAGTGTTACTGAGGAAGAGAAATACATTAAATCTGACCACTTTGAGACTGAAATATATTGACTTAAAACCCCAAGAAGCAAGGAGAGCTTCCCCTATAACCTCTCTCTCCAGAGGGAGAGATTTGTCAGAATATGGTTATATCATTCTCACCCACCTCTAGATCTTGACTGTCCAGGCAGAGCTCTGGAGCAGGTTTTTCTTTCAGAGCAGCAAGGATCTGGTCACTGAGTGCTGTTTGGGCTGAAGGAACTGTCCTGCTGGTGCCTGTGTCAACCACGTCCATCTCTGCCCTTGGTACGGTCTCAGATTCTGAAAAGCAGCAGAATCATTATAGCCCGTGACAAACACAGGACAGGAAAAGTGGCCTGATTGCTTTGATGGTTCTGAGATTAATAAAATACCCATTCTGTCTAGGTGCATCCTCTAACTTAAGAAATCCACAATGTTAAGGATGACTCTGATTTAAGATTTTCCCCCAGGATTCTACTTTCAGACATTGTGAGAGATGTGACCCAGCAGTGAGAGGACTCCTGCTGTCACCCAGAGAGTTCTTATCCTTAATAATATCATCAATAGCTGTGACCGACTCCAGGCCTTCGCGCTGCCTTATTTATTCCACTCAACTCTTTCAGGCATCTCTGAAAAGCTTGTTCTTGAGCATCCTAATGCTCCCTACCTGCCACTTTGCTTAAGATACTGTCTTCATTTTTCAAGGCCTCCAGGTAGAGCTCCAGGAGCTGTCTTGACTGACGTTCTTCTTCCCGTCTGTCCAGCACCTGCTGCAGAGTGTCCTGCAATACTTGGACTTTGGTTTGACTTTGGGCAAGTTCTTCTGCCAGGTCTGAACGTGGAACATCAATAAGCACCTTGAAGCAATGAGAGTGTTCCTGTTACACAGACTGATTGAGTAACTCATTCCATTACACCCATTGCAATACAAACAGCAAACCTCCTGAGCGACAGAGCCTCCACTTTCATGAAACCCAGTGTGTTTCACAAGGTTTCGTGTCACAGCAAGTCAACCTAGTTATGGGAGGCTGTAGTGGCACTCCACCAGGCAGCATTCTTTACCAGAAGCCAAAAGGCATCCAGGAAGGTGTGGTATCATAAGCATTTTAAGCAGAAATCCTGACAATCAAAGTACTATTTCTAAAGAGTGCATGGGAATACACACAGGAAAGCCAATAGCCTGGCACTTGGGAAGCTGCAGGAGGACAAGAGGAGGCAGTTATCTCCATGCCTCACCACATACAAGGTGTTAAGCACTCAGATACCTGAATCAATCAGCTCTGCAAACTGAGAGCAGTTCTTTGAACCCCTCTGGAGCAGACAGATTTGGCCTGC